AAACATTATGCAACACCTAATGTATCTTTTACAAAAATGCTCGATTTTTGTGTGAGAATAAACTTTACAAACACAAGAACTAGTGACGCTGTATAGATCAACAGCCGCCAACCATGTTAGAGGTGTTCGAAAAAAAATAATTATTTGTTACATTGGTCAATAAAACTTTGTAAAATATTATTTTGGGTTTCAATAAAGTTCATCATGTATATAAATGTTGGAGGCAAAATTTCAATTATATCTTAGGTTACCCTAAGATATAATTGAATCGTTATCAAGTTTTTGTTAACAACTAAGAAATTATATAGATACAATCATTACAATATTAATATTTAACACAATCTTTGGAGGTAAAGGTTTATAATGTAATTGATGATGATGTAATCCAGGCCGATTTCGGCCACGGCGACTATCTTCAGTTCCGATTTTGTCGTTGATGTGCTCGCATGTGACTTATGTAGCCTATTTTGTGTGTAAAAATCCTCGCACATTGCGGGCACGAGAGCACACCGCTCATATAATTATAGCTGATAGCCGCAGATGGTCGGGCTTTCAGCTTGTCACGTCTGGCATCCAGCTCAAGGAGCCGCCGGTTTTCAAAAGCTTTGACGCTAGAATTAACAAGCACTCTCCACTCCGGCCGTTCGGCAGCCTGCTGCTCCCACATCAAAGGATTGATGTCGCACTGCTTCATGTGTCGCTTCAGCACATCTTTGTACCTGAGGAGTTGTCCGCCATGCTTCCGCTTGCCTTCCTCAAGTTCTGAGTAAAAGACGCACTTAGCCATTCTTTCCTCCATCATACGCGTCACATGCCCGCACCACCGAAGCTGACGCCGCATAAGATAAGACTCAATACCACCGACATTGGCCCTTCGCAGCACTTCAGTATTCCGTACGCAGTCAGACCATCGGATATGAAGTATTTTCCGTAAGCACTTGAGGTGGAATCGGTCTAGCATACGGATGTGACGGCGATATACTGTCCACGTTTCGGCAGAGTATAAGATGTTGGGCAGCACGACTGCCATGTAGACATTGATCTTCGTTGCCAACCTAAAGTCGTGCGAGTTAAAGACCTTAGAGTCCAGCTTGCCAAAGGCCGCTGCAGCAGCACCGATTCTGCTGTTGATCTCTGCATCATGATCACACTTAGATGATATTGTGCTACCCAGGTAGCGAAACTTATCCACCTGCTTCAGCTCATCCCCTCCGAGTATAATATTCAGTGACTCGCGACCATGAGTATCCAAAGACATCACCTCCGTCTTTTTGACACTGATTTTTAAGCCAAATTTTTGGCACGACTCGTGGAAATCGGACATTAGCTGTTGCAGGCCCCCTGGGGATTCTGCTACGAAGCACAGGTCATCAGCGTACATCAACTCAGTGATCACGGCATGCGACACTTTGGTGCGGGCTTTCAGTCTGGCTAGATTAAAAATATTGCCGTCCGTGCGAAATCGAATGCGAACACCTTCAGAAGTCGTTTGTGAGACCTCTTGGACTACGACTGAAAAGTATAACGCGAACAATGTGGGTGCTAGAACGCACCCCTGTTTTACCCCACAGGTGACGGGGAAAAAATTGGACTGTTCGTCGTTAACAGCGACGCAGCACTGCATGTCGTCATGCAGGAGTCTTAGAAGTCTCACGAACTTCTCTGTACATCCGATTTTGTGAAGTACAAGCCAGAGGGCTTCACGAAGCACACTATCGAAGGCCTTCTCAAGGTCAACAAAACAGAGATATAAAGGACGATCTTGCTCTCTGCTCTTCTCCTGTAGTTGTCTCACTGAGAATATAGCCTCACACGTACCTCGTTCTGGCCGGAAGCCGAACTGGGTTTCGGGAAGAAGTTTTTCGGAAAGCGTCATAAGGCGGTTCAGCAACACTCGTGCAAAGACTTTTCCAGGGACTGATAGTAGCGAAATACCACGGTATGAATTACAATCGGACCGGTCACCCTTATTCTTATATAGGGCCCTGATACGTGATACTTTAAAAGTAGATGGGACTTGTTCCTCTTGCCACATACGAACAAAATGTTCCCATATAGCTGAATGCAATTCATCACCGCCGTATTTAAACAGTTCTCCCGGTATAGAGTCAATGCCCACCGCACGCTTATTTTGCTGTTGTTTGATGGCGAGAGCAATCTCCTCACGAGTGAGTGTCTCGTCCAGCTCAGTAGCGACAGGGAGTTGCGGAATCGAACGAATGTGTTCCAGGTCAGCAGCCCGGTCCACATTTAGCAGAGTGCTGAAGTGTTCTGCCCATCGTGCAAGTACTTCCTCTTTGCTCTTAAGTAAACCTACTCCAGACAGCGGCTTTAACGGTATTTTGGCAATAGAGGTTGTGCCAATTAATTTCCGAACCTCGCTGTAAAATTCTCCGAGCTGATTCGTGTCAACGAGCCACTGAATCTGTTGAGCCTTCTCTCGCCACCACTTGTCTTTGGCCTCCCTAGATAATCGCCTCAGCTGCAGGTTACTTTGTCTGATCTCCGCAACGCTCACATTTTGGTCAGCTCCGCGGTGTTGTCGGAGGAGATGGCGATGCTTGTCAATTGCTTCCGTCAATACTTCATCATTCTCATCAAACCAGTCCTCGTTCTTACGGACTCTACTACCCAAAGTAGTTGTGGCCGTGTTCAGTATGTGAGAAGACAAAGCACTCCAGTCGCAATCCACAATGCCGCCGTCTTTGTTGATGGATGGTAAACCAGAGATCAAAGATCGAGCATATTCTTTCCTCATCTCAAGATCTTGAAGCCCATCTACGTTAAGACTCGCATTGGGCTTTGATCTACCAGATCTTCGAGGACGATAGAGGCGAAGACGCAACTTAGCAACAACAAGCCTATGGTCAGTCCAGCAGTGCGCACCACGCATGACGCGGGTGACGAGGACTTGGGAGACGTCACGTTGCCGAACGATTGCGTAGTCAATTAGATGCCAGTGTTTGGATCTTGGGTGCATCCATGTATTTTTGTATTTAGCGGGAAGCCTAAACAAGGTACTCGTTATTGCAAGATGGAATTGTGCACATAAACTGAGTAAAAGCTGGCCGTTGCTGTTCATGGAACCAAGACCATGCCTACCCAAAACATTGGGCCATGCATCGTAATCCCGTCCTACCCTGGCATTAAAATCACCCAACAGGAGAATCTGCTCTTTAGGTCTTACGCTTTCGATACAGCTTGAAAGCTCTTCATAAAACTGATCCTTAATGTCATCAGACTTATCCATAGTCGGCGCATAGATACTGATGACATTAAGAAAGTTGTCTTTGTCCAGGTGTAGGCGCAGTGTGGTAACGCGGTCTGAAATATGAACCGGACACTCTTGTAGCTGGTTAACAAGTCTATTCTTAATCGCAAATCCAACACCTGACCGACGCGTCTCAGAGGCAGCGAGTCCCTTCCAAAAGAAAGTATACTCGCCACCGCATTCCACCAGCTCCCCTTCATCAGCTAGGTGTGTTTCGCTGAGAGCAGCCACATCTATATCATAGCGACGAAGTTCACGGGCAACAATGGCGGTTTTCCGTTCGGGGCAGATATTTTCATCGCGATCAAGCAGGGTACGTACATTCCACGCGCCGAATGTCATAATAGGGATTTTATTATTTGTATACTTCTTTCTGTGGCATCGACCGCGAGTTTAACGATGCGGAGGCAGCCGCGGTTGCTACCGTCCTAAAGTGTTGGGGTGAGCAATTTTTAGGACACCTTTTCTAGCCCCCTCCCTGGCTGAGCAGGGAAAGCAGTGCTTCCCTGAATAGGGCTGCTTTGCCGCTCCAGGTACTGCCGAGCCCTCTCTGTCCCCCCTGATCAGAGAAGGAACGACCACGGTATTCTAGGAACACCCCCAGAGCCGCCCGCGTGCAGGTCTCAGACAAAGCCCAATATGCATCAAATCGGACCTCTCTACCTCGACCCATCGCCACGGGACTTTCCGTCAAATCGGAGTCCATATTCGGAAGCAGTCAGTTGCGCAGGAGATATTTAGGTGCACAAGCGTACGCGCAAACACATGTGCACACCCTCGTCTTCTCCCATCTTGATCCAGTGGAGCGGAGAGACCGATACGACTGGAGACAGGTTCAGATGATGTGTCTGGCCAATGATAACTCTGTCCTCTATCATTGCCCTAAGCCGTCCACCAGGCCTTGCTATCCCGCCGGGTCCGCCAAACTCGTTGCATATCTGCGATGTGTCGCCTTTTCCACCGGGATAGACTTCGTGCACTAAGCGGGAGGTATCCGCTGTACAACCTGCCTCAACGGCAGGCCCCCTCGACCAGGTTTAGCCCGCGAGCCGACGCGGTTTACCGGGGTGTGGCCGCTGTATCCACTACAGCTACTTGGAGCCACTGGCGAGAGTTTGCAGAACGTCTGCGATCAGTGGAAAAACCCACCTCCTTTACAGGCCGACTGGTGAGATTCCAAGGCCACAATTCACTAGACGCTGCAATACACCCCACAGCGCATGGAGAGATGACATAGTAGTCCTCCTGTATAGCAACGTACCACTACATCTATTCTATGTTCGTAGTGCTGTTTTGTATACAGACCACCGTTACCACTTACAAATCAGGTGGGGCATCTGCTAACATAGACTAACAATCTTTCCAGTCACATAAAATTAAAAATGTTGCTATTTAACTGGATTTTTCTTTGTTATACAATATGTTACCGTTAGTTATATTTATGTATTTTGTCACCAAAATGCATCGAAGCAATTAAGTATGCCAATATCTGATACATTAGTTTTCCTGTACTGTGAGAAGTTAGAGATAGTGTCTTTAATTGTTAAATAGTTTCACAGATAATTAAATAGGTACAAATACTAGATGGTACGGGATATGTAAACATATTTTTCCCATTTATAATGTTTTGTAATAGGGGAACCTAAGTGGGGATTTACATATTCCGACATAACTTTATCTATATAACCCGCCATTGTTTTTTACATATAAAAGGAGGATAGTTGTTTAGTTCCATTATTATAAAGCGGTCTTTACTCTTTACTGAAATTAATTTAATTTATCACAAAATGAAGTATTTTATTTTCTTAATTGTAACAGTTGTGATAACGGTTGAAGCGGGAGGTATGTACTTGATCCTACATACATATTTGATAGAATATAATTACAAGTATTAGAGCAAAAATAAACATAAGTTTTAAAAACAACATTTTTGCTGTGATTTCTGCATTTTCAGATGTCTGTGATGTGACTCCAATATATGAATGGAGTGGAGAACCCTCATATCGTAAAGAAATCCTTCCAAATCCTGTAAAGTTGATCATCATTCAGCATACAGCAAGCCTTGACTGTTACAGCGATGACCGTTGCCGGACTGTTGCAAAAGGAATTAGAGATTATCACATATTTGAAAGAGGATTTGATGATATTGGACCTTCGTGAGTAGTATATATTTATACATTAAAAAACTCAATATTATTAGCATTAGTGAAGAGTCAGTGATGATATCAAGTACAATACGCACTAATTCAGATCTTTCATTTTAAAGTTCGTGGAAATTTGATTACATAACTTCCGATTTCATCTCTTTAAATCTCTTTTCTTCATGGAGATTCTTTACTTACTACTCTACCTACCCCATACCCTCTTTATCCTACTTACATTAATTAATTGTCTTTTTTTTTCCATCTTTACAATTTATTTCAAGTATTCGCAATAAGTCACTCTAAAACTTCTATCAAATATTTGAGATACGTACTATAAACTAATTTACCTTTTAAACTTAATAAACTTACATAAAGCAAATCTTTTAGATGTTGTTCCTGTCTGCGTTTTATAAAATTTCCACTATTTTAATTTAATTCACACAACATACCACGACCGCCATTGTCCATTCTAAGCCTGAGTAATTTGCAAATACCCCGTTAGTGTGGTTAATTGTGCAGCAGTTGCGCCTGTAAGCAATTAGAAATGTGTACATTTAATTTTGCGAGGATGAAGGCAAAATATGAAAATATTATTTATAATAAGGCGGCTCCAGTATTGAAAAATATTAGGTACATGTTTTAGATTTGCTAATATAATTTCCAAATTCAAATTTAGTGTTTTGACCATATTTTCTATCAATTTCACACACATTATCACACAACATTAATATATCAGATATCATGATAAAAAAAATCGTTTGGAGTAGAGTTAAGAAATATATCAAATACACTATATAGATCGAACTATTGTAATTTATAACTGCATATTACAATCGACTCGAATTAACGTACATACATATTCTCTTCATATATCATATCCTCTTATAGCGGAATATTTTTAAATTCTTAGTAGAAGTGAGACATTAGACTGTCTTGCTCAAAGTCATTAAATATTTCATCAATTCCATTATTTATGGATCTGCTCAAATGAAGATGAAGAAGCGACAAAGTTGTACAACTTTATAACCTACAAATGGCGCCACAGATTCAAAATGTGTTTTGTTATTCCACAGCGGTTACATAGCTTCTAACTACTTTCATTTCTGCTTCTGCTTTCTAATAATTTTATTTTTAATTTCAGTTTTCTAATTGGAGGCAATGGCATTGTTTATGAAGGTGCTGGTTGGCACCGAGTCGGGGCACATACGAAGCGTTACAATAATCGGTCTATAGGGATCTCGTTTATGGGAAATTTTCAGAGTAAGTAGGGGAGTCTGGGGCAAGACGGGGTAGTTAAGGACACTAGTTTTGACATTGAATAAAACTCACATTTAAATAGGGACAACCATATTTTCTTTAGTTTTACAAACTTTGGTAATCGGTTTATTGTATAAATAACAACAGACTCAAATTAGCTTATTATTTTTCTCACAATCAATAGTTAAAGCGAAAAGGTCACTTTGCCCCGTCTTACCCCATACCTGGGGTAAGACGGGGTACCCTATAGGGCACGACGGTATACGTAAAATAACAATAGCTGCTACGGTAAATACAGTTAGAAACTAAAAACAAATGGTTTTAAAATATAACAAAATAGTCTCAAGTTTAATACGATTATAAGTAATGGAATAAACTACTAAGGGGATGAAATGCAAGGATAGCTCTGTTGTGATCCAGCCTGCCTCACTGCAAACACCCCACGTACCTTGGGGAGCATTTATCATCAGTTCTGGCTTCATCGTTTTATGAGGAAATAGCATCATTAGTAGCATGTAGTACCAAATGCACTGAAACTAAACACTACAGTGATAGTAGCTCCCCTTTTAGCTGAAGATAAAGATCCAACTTGGTTACTCCCTGTTCTGGCGATAATTTTATATTTACTTTTAGGAACGATGGATACCCCAGTCTTAACTGTGTTATATATTCTGTCAGGAGAATTTTTCTTGAGGTCGAGGGTTTAGCCTAACAAATTAAAAATCTATCTTCAGCTATTTTATTAAGTCCTGCAGCTCTTGCCGCTGAAGTGTTCTCCGGTTTTCTAATTGAAATTTCGGGGTGCCATTTGTCTGCTCTGACCAACTCACCCTACTGGTTTTCCGCACGTAGGTCGGTACCATTCTTCAAAAATACAAAATTAGACTCGGACGGGGCAAGATGGGGTATCCCATATTCCATCTTGCCCCTTCGGGTATTAATTTTATAAAAAAATAATAAAAAATAGGAATAATAAATTTAAGCGGTTGTATATTCTCACCTTACTTTATGCTTTTTTACTCTTCCAAAAAATAGCAATACCAGCAATCACTCATCAATTTAATATTTTTTTCATGTAGTTAACAACAATTGAAAATAATAAGTAAACTGGTCAAAACTAGTTTTTTCGCTCAAATATCTAAACGCGACGTCACACGCGGTGGTTCTCAGGAGACCGAGGCGGTCAAGTAATAGCTTATTACTGGTATTATTGTTTTGACTGAGGTTCATTTGGTTTTCTCTGTAAGGGAGGTACCCCGTCTTACCTCGCTACCCCGTCTTGCCCCAACCTCCCCTACCTTAGACATAGTATACAGATTAATACCAATAAATCTATATTAATATTTTAAAGAGAGAGCGGATTTTATCAATCTAAATCTTTCACTGTTTGAAAGACACTTTAGTGCAGAGTAATATACATAATATAATATATACAAAACTCACAAAATTATGTACATGCGGGCGAAGTAGGAACGGGCCACTAGTTTGTAATATAATATTATTCAATGACATTTCATTTCGAATTCTTGAAATTTAATTAAAATCACTCAAATGAAATTTAATACATAATACGGAATGTAATAATGAAGTAATAAGAGCTCATGCATATTAGCTACTTCAACTTTTTTATGTTTTTATTTTTAGTTTTGTAGTTGAATCGCATTTTAGTGATTTGGTTGTTCAAATTCAAATTCAAATTCAAAAATCATTTATTCATGTAGGACATTTTAGCCGCTTATGAACGTCAAGTTTTTACATTATATTTTTTTTTCCTACCGTCCAGTTCGGTATATAGATCCAATTGAGAGAAGAACTAGCAAGAAACTCAATTGAATTACTTTTTTTTTTAAATCTAGTTTATTTACAATGCGTAGGTATCTATATAGGTGTCTATGTCTAACATTAAATGAAAATCCCGAACATGAAAACTATTGCCATGCACGCTCGTCATTCAAGTAATCGTTTAGTGAGTAATAGGCCTTGCTCAGTAAATATGATTTAACAAATGTTTTGAATTTATTTAAGGGTAATTCCAATATATCCTTTGGTATCTTATTGTAAATTTTTATACCTATTCCCATAAAAGACCTATTGACTTTTTCTAAACGATACTTGGGGACAGCAAGTTTGTCTTTAAATCTAGTATTAATATTATGAATATTGCTGTTTTTTGGAAATAAGTCAAGATTTTTATGAACATATAGAATATTTGAATATATAAATTGAGAAGCAACGGTGAGAATATTTGCCTCTTTGAATTTCTCTCTTAATGAGTCACGACTCTTCATACAGTAGATCGCTCGAATGGCACGTTTTTGTAATATGAATATATTTTTAATATCTGTCGCTTTTCCCCATAATAATATTCCATAAGAGAGTAAACTATGAAAATAACTAAAATAGACCAATCTAGCAGTATCAGTATCAGTGTACTGTCTAACCTTACGCACGGCAAAAGCTGCTGAACTCAGTTTCGCTGCAAGACTTTGAATTTGTGCACCCCATTGTGTTTTATTATCTAATGTGATTCCTAGAAAGACAGTAGATTCTATAAATTCGAGAGATTCGTCATTTAATTTTATGTTGCAATTAGTATTAAAACTTTTAGACAGAGAAAAATTAACACATTTTGTTTTTTTAGCGTTTAACATAAGATTGTTAGTTGTAAACCAGTGCAAGAGACGCCGCAAAGAACTATTTACATCGTCATAATTATTAGTCATTCTATTAACTTTAAAAATCAATGAAGTATCATCTGCAAATAACACTATCCCGCATCTATTCTGCATGGCATATGGGAGATCATTTATGTATACTAGGAATAAAAATGGACCGAGAATAGATCCTTGAGGTACACCCATTTGTACAAGTGACCCGTCAGACGTAGCGCTGCTAACCTTTACTTTCTGTATTCTATCAGATAAATAAGATTTTATTAAATTTAAAGCGTTGTCTTTGACGCCATAAAAAGCAAGTTTTTTCAATAATGTGTTATGATCAACGCAATCAAAAGCCTTAGAAAGGTCACAAAAAACACCTATCGCATCCATTTTATTTTCCCATGCAGCAAATACGTGTCTGAGCAACTCTGCATCTGCGTCTGTAGTTGAACGACCTTTGGAAAAACCGAATTGACTATTGTGAATTAAATTATTTAAATTGAAATAACTGACAAGTTGCATAAGGATTATTTTTTCAAAAATTTTACTGAGCGCTGGGAGTATGGATATAGGTCTATAATTTATTGGGTCAGTCCTGTCTCCAGATTTAAAAAGTGGTATAATTTTACTAATTTTCATTACATTAGGAAATTTACCATCATCTGTACATTTATTAAAAATAAAAGCAAGAGACGGCGCAATAATTTCCATTATACTATCCAGTATTTTAACAGATATACCCCATAGATCCTCTGTTTTTTTATTATTTAGCTGCTTAAATATTTTCATTATTTCTACTGATGTTGTGTGTCTAAAGTTAAATACAGCTGATGACTTGCTAACATTGTCTGTTAGTAAAGTTTCAGCAGCAGACGGGGAAGATTTTAGAGCCTGTGTCGTAATTAATGGAATATTAGTAAAATAAGATTCGAATGTATCCGCGACCTCTGTGTCGGAATTTACCAATTTGTTATTAATATATAAAGCTATTTTGCTATTTTGAACATTAACTTTTCCAGTTTCGCTATTTATTACTTTCCAAGTGGCTTTTATTTTATCTTTAGATTTAGTTATTATTTTACCTAAATAGAGAGACTTAGCTGTATGACAAACCTTTTTAAATATTTTCGAATAAGATTTTACATGTTCATGAAATAAGGGATCGGATATCGGATTCGGATCGGAGATCGGATATAAGGGAGCTTCGTTTTTCGTAAAGTTCGTAAAGATTAGCCCTAGACTTATAAATACCAAACGTGGCCCAGTCGCAAAACTTTGATTTTACATTAGTTGAAAATGTTTTTGTTTTAAATTCATTGTTAGCTTCTTGCTCAATTAAATTAAAAATATGTTCACATACAATGTTCGGGTTATATTGAGGTATTACGAGACTAGATATTTTATGTTCAATTTTATTTTTAAAACGTGCCAAATTATTTTGTGTTATTTGTCTGCATGTAATTGTTGGAGTCCCTTTGGACCCCTTATTTTCAATTATAATTTTTTGTCCATAATGATCAGAGTCAAGACAGTCGAAATTCATTGTCACCTTTACTTCACAATTACAGAAAACATTATCTATACAAGTGGCAGAATTTCCTGCAACCCTAGTGGGTTCTAAAAAAAGATTGTACAAATCAAATTATTTAAATAAGTTAATTAACCTTAGGCTTATTGAGCATCCCGATAATAAATCAACATTAAAATCGCCACATACAAATAATGTTTTATTTCTCCGTGCAACTCGTCTCAATGCTTCCTCCATAGCCAGTTCAAAAGAATCAAAACAAGCCGATGGCAGACGATAAACACAAATTATTATACAAGTAACTAATTCTACGCATGATAGTTCAATTGTTTGCTCAATGGAAATATTTACAATGTCTTGACGGTTTTTAAATTCTACATCATTTTTTAAAATAATAATTGAACCGCCATGAATAGCATTGTTCCTAGCAAAAAAACTAGCTATACTGTAATGTTCCAAAGGACAAATTATTTCATATTGTTTAAGCCAATGTTCTCTCAGATATAACACCCGTACATTGTTAGATTCTAAGAAAAGACTTAATTCTAATTCTTTGCTGGAGAAGCCACGAATATTTTGATGAATAATGACCATATCCTGTGGCTTAACCAATGTCGTAGATGTTAGTTTAAATCAACACATGTCACATTATTAGTATAATTACTAATATTACTACTTAAATCCGTTATACTACTTATAATGGGATCATAAATGTTATGCGCTAGTAAACTAGCAATAGTCTTTTTTTGTCTTTTAGGAAGATAAAAATTACTTCCAGTCATATAATAATTTGTAACAAATTTGTTACTTTCAAAATAAAATATATCATTACAATAATATGTCAACGAATAAATTAAATTATTTATACTATAAATGAACCTATTCTGTTCATTAGTCAGGGATCGAGAGTAGGGAAATGCGTATAATAATATTTTACCTATACCAAGCTCCACTATATTATATAATGATTTTATTAAATTAACTATATCAGATTTACGCATATGCAAGCAATTCCCTAACGCTATTACTAGGATGTTATTTAAAACTGCAGAGATTTTGTGATGGATTCATTGATTTCGTTATTTAGAAAATATCATAGTGTGTGCATAGAATATGGTGCAATCGTTGGTGATCGGGCCATCGAACAACTGAAAATGTCACAAATGGCGACTCATGGTCGAGTTTAATTCTATCTCTGATACCTATCGCTTACAGCTTGCTTGCTATGCCAGGGTGGGATAACTAGTTGTCATTAGGTAGGCCGTTAAAATCTTTGCTATTCCAACGAGATGTGTCTATTCGGATATACGTATAACTGTAGAATTGTATAATACATTCTTCACCATCACAAAATTAATTTTGGTACAATTGTCTGTTATTCATATTACTATAATTAGACTAAGTATCGAATCTGTGCTCTATTTCACATAACAAAATCGACGCAATGCGCATGTCAGGCAATGTTTATTTATTTATGTATCAATGGAAAACATATTAGGTAAATATAGGTAAGAGTAATATTTTGCAGTTTTCTCAAAAGATATCTTATTTTCCAAATCAGTGAATAGGTAAGGGTTGTGTACTTTAATATAGCTGAAATCGGTCAGTGATACATACTTGTATGAGTTTTATAAAGTGAGCCAGTATATGAGTTAGTGTAATTGATCTGGAGTAGACTAAACTGATAGCAGTCCTAATGATGACTGGAAATAACACATGAATATAATGAGTATTTAAGTATACACAAGCCTAAATATATATCTATGCTTTAATTGTGTTTTTATTTGCAAAAATAAATGATTTTGGACAATTCACATAGCGTCATCAAAATCTAAAGTAAACAGGGGTTATACTATGAATTAATATTTTTTTTGTATATACAATATTTGTATTGTATAGATATAAAAACCACAATAATCGGAAAGTAAGGCTGTGCGCTAAATCGGTAAACCACCAAGGTGATTGGGGAATTTAGAAAAGTGGATTTTCATTTTTTTTTTATTTTGATTTTAATACTAAATTATAATAAAAACTGACTATATCTGTGTACAGACGACGCTACGCTACATGGCAATTTTCAACGATGCATAACAATTGTCGTGTGGTTCGAGCCGCAATTTGATTAATTAATTAGTAATTAATTAATCAAAAATTATGAAAACATTGAACATGCGAATGATTGTTCACATCGATCTGGGTGTTTTCTGTGTATAATATGTATGCATTTAATAAAATGTGTCTGTGTATTTATATCCGCTGTCTAGTACCCATAACACAAGCTCTGTTTACCTTGGAACTATATGGCGTAGTGTAAATTGCCCAGAGATGTTATTATTAATTAGAAATATTTCAGTTTTAGAGGCATTTTTTAAAGATTTTATTAGTCTATGGACATAAAATATTGTTAAATGTGGATTCGTACCACATATAGTTTTCGCCTCGTCACGATTTTACTATAAATGTTTCAGGTAAACTACCTACATCAAAGGCGCTGCAAGCAGCAGAAAATCTGATAAGATGCGGTGTGACAAGCAAGTATTTGACCGAAGACTATTTACTGGTGGGTCACCAGCAACTGACTTCAACTGGAAGCCCCGGAAGGGAGCTGCAAGCATATATAGAAATATGGTCACACTGGGTGAAAATTGTCCAATAGAACCCATGATTATACAATATCTAATTAGACTATCTCCTTTGTAAAAAAAATTATGTAATTTTTTCCGTTTGCGTGAATACGATTAATGAAGTCCGTTGTTATTAAAACACATGAAAAAGAACAAATCCCCTTGATCTTGATTTGTATTTAATACGAAATACTTGTAACGCCGAAAAGAGTATCGATTTCTTATACAAATAACAGTTACAAAGTATCTTAAATACATTTGAGACATATTTTTCACAAGTATGTCATATACAAATATGTATACACAAATAGTTTAATACTTATTACTTATTCTTTTTCTTAAAATATCACTTCTGTTATCTGGTGTTTTGTCTACAGTGAAATCAAAATACATACTTTACAAATTATCGTTTGGTTTAAAATACATTGTTCATAGACTGATAAATGATTTGACTGTTTTTAATTATCTTTTTGCTGATTGCTACAGTAGTAAAATTTGTTTTCAACAGAATAATAACAAAATATTAATGTTTAGTATCTTTACAGCTATAACATATCTATATAGTATTATATTGTACTAGCTGTTCCCGCGACTTTGTCCGCGTGGAATTTAACTTTACTTTTCTAAAATAAAAGTAGCCTAAGTTACTCCTTATCACATCAGCTACCTGCCAAAAAAAATCCCGTTAAAATTGGTCTAGGCATTTCAGAGATTAGCCGGAACAAACAGACAGACAGACAGACAAAAATTGTAAAAAATGTTGTTTTAGTATATGTACCGTATTTATATTCATGTGCATGTAGTAAAAAAATGGTTATTTCAATACTTCACTGTATATATATAGATAATGTCTACTTAAATTATCATATGAAGAAAATAAAAGTGTTTAATTGTAAAATATTTATTTTATGGTTAGCGATCTCGAATTGAGTTCGCCGGATTACATATTCTTATGATTATACTTCCTTCGGAAGGTAAATTCAGCCAAGAGTAATAATGAAAGAAAAACTTTTTGATAGACCTATTGTAAAAATCAGAAAAATATTATAATAAAACTCTAACATTATTGTGTAATTGATGAGCTTTTATCCGTTACTCTCTTTATTTATAATTAGAAAATACTTTCTTAAGATTAAAATATCTGCCTATTGAGCATGATAACTACCTAATTTTCCGCCACAAATTTCTTAATTAAAAAGACCATTTCTTCGTCCGGTTATTTCAGCTCTGGAAAACAGAAAACATCCTATGTGATAGAATGAATTTGAAAATAATAACGAATATTGTAAAGATTCTAGTAAACAGGAAGAAAAAATATATAAAAAAAGTTGCCTATATTTTTCTTAGGATTAAAAACATCGTGGTGAGTATAATTGCTGACATCGATAGTATACAACCTGCCTGAGAGCCGATTTCGTTAATAGATTTACGTTAACAGACAGGAGCAGTACCTATTTATTGTCAGCTTATTGTGTATTATACTAAAATGTAGTACAGACCTATAAAGGTGTAAAGAATAGCGTAAAACAAGAAGGAAACCTAATGCCCGCGCCCCTAATTTCCCGCGCCTAACCTAATGCGCCACAGATGCACAACATTGCACGGCGCGCAGCAATAGGATGAAAAGCGCATCATAGCTCTATTCGATGTTAATACTCATACCACAGATAAGATAATATTACATATTAATACAAAGCAGCATGAAAGCAGAATTATGTACATGTATTTTAGTAATGTATGTACATGTACCTATGAACTTAGTAAATTAGATGTAATTTTTTTTACCACTATTTAGACACGTGAAAGAAGAATGACTACGAGTGTGAAAGTTTTTGTAAAAGGTTTATTTATAACTATCTGTGTTTGTCTTAATATGTATTTATGTATGCATATAATTATAGTTGTATGTTGTATATATTATTAAGTGTTATTTAGGACATTTATTTTTATGAATTCGTTAAATGTATAACTGGTTATTGTTAGTTTTTCGACATTTGTTTTAAATTACCACTTGCACTACCGTTACCCACTCTCTACTTTCTGACTTGATTGCAAGAGATCTCTTTTATAGGTATGTCCACCCTTAATGACTACATTATTTCTATTTAATATTATTATTACTTTATTTATCAGCGTAATAAAGAAGTATATTCTTTATTATATATATATTATATACTAGCTGACCCAGCGTACTTCGTAACGCCTAACAGTCGATTCTCTTATTTTTTAGTTTATTTAATACTTATTCTGTTATTCAGGACGCCGGGTCAGCTGGTAAGATAAAAGAAAGTTAATAAGTCAATAATTACATTATGTCAAAAAATTAAAATTATAAAGAAACTCAGATTATTTTAATAGTCAAGCGATCGGTTGCTACCTCAACAGACATTACGGAACGTCTTTTCGACGCTTAATGTCATGAATCTGGTGAGATCTTTCCATTTTTATATTTCATACTTTGATTTAAGTATTCGCAACGTTGATGAATAGTTGCGATGAAGTAGATCGTGGTCATTCAGTGAACCGACAGACGGTGTCAGTTTTGTCGTTAAAAGGTTGAAGCAAGCGCGTGGTTATATGAGTGGTCTAGCGATGATCATACTTGGTCATATATGATAGCAAACTACCTAGTATAGAAGTAGATTCTCAAATACGGTGCTATAGTTGCAATATAGTCGGGTATAGAAGTAAATTTAGTTAAATCTTTTAAAAAAAATAACCTACGGACAAAATCGTATATGCGTTTTGTAAGAAGATAGGTCATACTGAATACGTTTACTTTATAAAGAAGTTATCTGAATTAGGCTAACGCAAATTTTCGCCGTGACTTGGACTAGTGATAATGTACATCGCGACGAAATTACCGCCGTAATATGCGGGTACCCACAGATGTTTAGATTGATAGTGGTTCAACAACTTTAAAATCAAATGATCGTTTTCGTATTGTATACTTGTATACCCTACGCTGCAAATATTATGCTGTTTAGTCGAAATAAAAATGTGCTCCGATTATTTTCTTACATTACCTGCAAAATTCAATAACATCTCACAAGAAGTAAACTTCTTAGTACCTTGTGATTATCTTAAAGACGCCAGTACTCATTGGTAACGATATTTTTAATATTAAAAGACATTGCCTATACAAACTAACGATTCTTAGCGTATTTTTAGAAACTGCTCTTTTGAAAATGATATAATGCGTAGTGAATCGATAGCGCGACTTCAATTGATTAATACACCGTTCCGTAGTGATGAAAAAGAAAATTTGTAGTCGTACTGAATAAAAAATTCTGAATACTTTTTAGTGGCTCAGTCACAGCTATGGTCAATGCCGTATAGAGATACACATTCGCCTACTTAACGAAGTAGCGCTATGTAGGTATGACGGTATGCTATGACGGTTACTTACCGAATCGACCATATAAATTATTGTTCGATTATAAATTAAGCATGAGTGTGAAAATACAGGTTTACAATTAATTTCCGCTAAATATAATTTTCTCGCTCCTGAGATTGTCTCTTGGGAGACGGGAACTAATTGTAAGAGTCAGGTCAGGCCGAGCGTAAAGAAATAGAAATGGTGGATTCTTTGTTCAAACAAATTTCAATTTGAGCACTTCATTCATCAAGTAATACTTATTATTGAATCTTCCGCCCATTCGGTGAACTATCTTATCGTATAAGGAAAGAGCGGGGAAGACTAAGTCTGTTAGAGTAGGCAAGTCTCTACAAGCAGTCTTCGTTCATGTGTATGACGGACATAGAAAATAAATGCCGTAGTAGTTTCGGATTCCTCAAACTGTCGAAGCTGCTTGTTGCGGAATACGATGTTATCGGTTGAGACGATGTATAATAAAATAAACTGATCGAATGCAGACAATAAGATGTAAGGAGAGCTGACGCGGTTTGTGCAGTACTTAGTGGATAGTATTTAGTGATACTGGCCAGCTATCTTAGGCGGTATATCCCGTGATACGCCCAAATCGCTTCTTGAAATTTTATCGGGGAAAAGAATAGAAACTAGGGAGATAAGATCATCTCTATATTGGCTAGTCAATCCGCGTTGCTTATCTTTGACCATTTACGGACTGAAGTCCATACGGATGCAAGTGCACTAGGTTACGGTACTAATTCAAATAGGAAAAGACGAACACATATACGACGTAGCTTTACAATATGTGCAGATCCAAGGTCTACTCCTACTAGCTCGAGATACTTGCTGTTGTCAAGGCGTTGCAACATTTTCACCATCATCGCGTTGGGAAACATTTTAGGGTAGTAACTAACTGCAGCTCCCTGAAAATTACGACGATCTCTTGCCTAGGGTAGTGCGCTGGTGAATGTACGTACAGGATTGTGATTTGACGTTTGAATATCGTAAAGGTTAGTTCATATCTCACACATCGAAATCTTTTAACAAATTCACTGAATCGTAGTAGCATATGCTGCTGATGAGGAAACTCGTTTGCTTGAGAAACGTGTACAAGGACAGTTGAATAGTTCGCGATATGTAAAGAAAATAAAAATCTTCTCAATTATTAACATATCCCTATAGGAAAAAGTCGCGATTGTTATGTTGTTTCTAAAGACTGCGTGTCGAGCATATTGACGTGGAAACGTTGGCGAGTTTAAATTAGTTGACGGTTTCAAAGTAGAGTTCTAACTTGTAAAGAAATATTATAGGACACGGTTTAATGTGTAAACATGTTACCTAATACCTTATATTACGTTCCCCTCCAAATAAATACAAATATATTCTCACACACTTAGATGCTTTCTTTATTGTTCTATCCTATACAGAGACAAAATAGTGCAGAATCAAAAGGGAATTTGAGTTTTTCTAATGTAATTTGTATTTTTGAGATATTTTTTATCCTAAGGTATTCAGGCTATACCTTGTTTAAGGCTTTGAGCAGCGTCGAGTGTGTAATAGGTAACACCTCGTGTAAGGTAACACTTTGTGTAGCATCGAGCGTGTTATAGGATACACCTCGTGTAAGGCTTTGTGTAGCATCGAGCGTGCTATAGGATACACTTCGTGTAAGGCTTTGTGCGGCATCGAGTGTTATAAGACACACCTCATGAAAGGCTTTGACCAGCGTCGAGTGTGTAATAGGTAGCACCTCGAGTAAGACTTTGTGCAGCATCGAGCGTGTTGTAGGATACACCTAGTGTAAGGCTTTGTGCAGCATCCAGCTTGTTATAGGCTACACCTCGTGTAAGGCTTTGTGCAGCATCCAGCTTGTTATAGGCTACACCTCGTGTAAGGCTCTGTGTAGCGTCGAGTGTGTTATAGGTTACCTCTCGTGTAAAACTTTGTGTGCTTTCTATGTACACATGCTTAGATCACGTATAAGTCCTTGTGAGACAACGTGATCCTACTTCCAAAAATAAAATGCTTGCCACTAACTTATGCTTCACAGGTTGTGAAGAGTCACTATTGACTCGTCTCCAAGCAATAGCCCTGAGAATACCTTAAGCCTGGGCAGAGCGCGTAAGAATAGCATTCGGACCAGACGACGCGCCGTGACCAGAAAGCATCGGGGACGACGCTCCGTCAGGAGAGGCCGTGTTAGCTGTAACTTCCGCTGGTGGCGCCACCGTCGTGCGGCGCTTCTATAAAAGGCTGCGAAACCCGGTGTGCGGCCCCCTCTCTCCGATGCTCTACTCGTTGTACACCAACGACATCCCCAAATTCTCCGACTTAAAAGTTGAAATATCGCTGTTTGCCGGTGACACGGCTCTCTTTACATCCGCCAAGTCCCGTGCGACAATAGCCAGACGGCTTCAGAAAGCCGTAACGATACTGGGCGAATGGTTCCGTCGGTGGCGCATAGAAGTCAATCCCGAAAAAAGTGCAGCAGTGTA